GATCGATGATGTCATCGACGCCACTTGAACATGACGTAATTCCCTCTGCATTTTGCAAATCACCAGCGGGCTGCGGTGAACCCGCGTGCTATTCTGGTATACTCTACAGTACTGTATAACGCAATATCGGTGAGAATATCCCGGGGCATAGACCACTAGAAGTATACCTGGACTGGAACTCTCCTCGGGTGGATGGACTTTTCATACTACAGGCCGCCGAAAATGTCGAAAAATAGTTACTGAGTATGGATCTTCCCGCGTCTGTTTTCTAAATCACTCGTATCAATTGGAAATAACATTCATGATCTAAATTGACTGCTTCCAAGCAGAGCTTCTCAGATATTTCAATAAAAGTATTAATGAAATTGATTGCTATCTATAGAACCATTTTTATCATACAGTTAACTATACATACAGTATACTGTACATACAGTTAACTGAAAGATTACTCCAAAAATCTGCTTATATGCTAGATATCGGTAAAGTATCAATAAATTGATATCTTACCTATACAAGCATTTTAATACATACAGTTAACTGAAAGATTACTCCAAAAATCTGCTCATATGCTAGATATCGGTAAAGTATCAATAAATTGATATCTTACCTATACAAGCATTTTAATACATACAGTTAACTGAAAGATTACTCCAAAAATTTGCTCATATGCTAGATATCGGTAAAGTATCAATAAATTGATATAAATTAATATTTTACCTATACAAGCATTTCAATACATACAGTTAACTGAAAGATTACTCCAAAAATCTGCTCATATGCTAGATATCGGTAAAGTATCAATAAATTGATATAAATTGATACTTCACCTATACAAGCATTTTAATACATACAGTTAACTGAAAGATTACTCAAAAAATCTGCTCATATGCTAGATATCGGTAAAGTATCAATAAATTGATATAAATTGATACTTTACCTATACAAGCATTTTAATACATACAGTTAACTGAAAGATTATTCAAAAAATCTGCTCATACAGTATGCTAGGTATCGGTATAAAATACTGTATTTGCTTGTTAGTTTTAGTTACATTTTCTCCCGGTTTAAGCGTCTAAAACGAAATAAAAGACGCTGTACACCAGATCACAGGTTCTATCTTAAGAGACCATGACAGACTTTACAATGCAATTTACAACAGTATTTTCGTATTGAGTAAAGTGTTACTCCTAGACAAGCAATAATATTCCGCGAGTATCAGTAAAGACATTTAGTAGTAATAAAAATATTAAAACAGGTCATCCATTAGACGTTTTTGATACTACGATATGCTATTAAAGTAAGCAAAACGATTCCCTCTTTATGAGTAGCAAA